GAGCACACCCTAGGTGAGAGTCCATTCACCTAGCCCTCAATGTAAGCTTCCTAGATTTTAGGAGCATGCCCTAGGTGAGAGCCCATCTAACTAATTTTCAATATAAACTTCCTAGATTTTAGGAGCATGCCCTAGGTGAGAGTCCATCCACCTAATTCTCAGTATAGACTTCCTAGATTTTAGGAGCACACGCTTTCTAGATTTTAGGAGCACACCTTAGGTGAGAGTTCATTCACACATTTTTCAGTATAGGCTTCCTAGATTTTAGAAGCACACCTTAGGTGAACGTTCATCCACCTGATTTTCGAATAAATAACGAAACTTGACACTTGACCCTGATTCACAAACTGATTAGGATTCCACCTGATTTTCGAATAAATAACGAAACTTGACACTTGTCCCTGATTCACAAACTGATTAGGATACCAGACACTAGGATGCACCGAGATGTATTTCATGCTTCCTTAATTAAATAAATAGTGGAATTCTCGTCATGACTTAATCTATAGTAAAACCCAATGCATCGAGATTTGAGCTTGAATATTACAGTCAAATCCTCCTGACAATTGGAGAAATTTGTTAACGCCACATATGGATCATCGGACTAGGATGAGTTTAGGGTCTAGGCGGCGAGGGCGATGACGACGACGACATTGCTTACGTGTGCTTAAACGAGGCATGCGAAGTGGTACTATTAGAATAATACCGGCGAGGGCGATGACGACGACGACATTGCTTATGTGTGCTTAAACGAGGCATACGAAGTGGTACTATTAGAATAATATCAGGATGTCAGTAGTTCTAACGCGATTAGAGTGACTAATCTGTGGACTATATGACTTTACAAAAATATTTATGAAAATAAAACATAATCCCTTTTGCATGTTAAAAAGAATTATTCATAAAAAAGTCTTAAACAACAGCTTTTTCATATTATTCATAAAAAAGTCTTAAACAACATCTTTTTCATAAAAATCAAATAATTTTTCCATAAAAATTTATAAAAGTCCATGGTTAGTCATTTGGATTGAGGTTAAGAACTACTTCCTGTAGATTGTCGAGTTGACAACTCTTACTCAAGGTCGGGAAGCACATAGCCTAGCTCTGAGCCCCCACTTTTACCAATGTTTTATACCTAGTCCTGAGCTGTCATATGTGGTTACAGGTTTCTTTTGCTCGTGATTTCTACTACTCGTTTTTATGACTTTCATGTTGAGTTTTCTTGCCTTATTTATTTTTCTTGCAAGTATGTTTAAGGGTCTGTTTGGGGCAGCTTATAAGTGCAGACGACGTTTTCAAAATGCCGTTGTACCATTTGGTTCGCGCGTTTCGCTAGTTTATCCAAAACTGCATTTGTGTTTTTACACTAAATGCATGCCGCGGGTCGACCACCGCAGCTGGCCCGTAGGCCGCGTTTTAGGATAAGCAGCTTATCATGAAATACACAAGCTGTCCCAAACAGACCCTAAATATGCTGCAAATCATTCAATGATCACAATATTAATCGCACAACAGTAGCAAATGCCCAGGTACATTTTCACAGTTTATTTATATCATTTTACTTTACTGCATTTTAACTTTCAAGTACCTTTTATTTACCTGCAATTTGACTACTCTGCATGCAAAACCAAAACTGAAGCAAAACAAAATCAAATTTTGACACCAAAATTGGGAAACACAAATCGCCAATCTCAAACACTTAAACACTGAAGTCATCGCTATGACAGGAGCTTGGAGCCAACTTTATTACGATGAGGGGCTTGGATCGAACAACAAGAGGATTTTCTTTATCATTCTCTCCTCCTAACATAACAACCCATAGAAATTTGTGGTAGCTCGCCTGGCGTGACATAAATTCTCACATCCTCTTTAGACTCCTGTGCAACCATGTTGTGCAGCGTAAGTCCTAACTCATCTTAGGTTCCGAGGTTGTCGTGTGACACGACGTAAACCCTCTTATCTCCACAGGTTATTTGCATAATCAGGTATTATGCAAATGTAAGTCTTAAATAATAAAATTGACAGGATTAAATAATTGAATAACATCATATTTAAAAATGCAGTCACACAGTAGGATAGTCTGGGAAGTTACTGAGGTTTCTCCTCATGATCTATGACATCCCTTACCTGTTCCTTCCTTTGGACTTCTGAAATAACTGTTCATATTTGAGCCACTCCCATTTGCCCTTCCACGTCCTATCGTGAAAACATAAACTTTGGAATCTTGAAAACTAATACCTCTGATCATTACCGATAGTTTTCTCAATTGAACATAATCATTTGAGATGTAATTAACTATATAGACTTGCCTTTATAGAGAACTTGGAACCCGGGTAAAATAAACCCTATTTAATATTTGTATTAAATATGAGAACTTGTCAGTCATACATAAAATATATAAAAGGTTCGCAGACCAAACGGATGTCACCAATCTCTTAGTTTGCAGGATTGGGTCTATCGCCGAGATCTACACTTATCTTTCGAGAGGGTGTAGTATTCACGGTATCAGACACAATTATGCAAACTATTGAACTAATAAGATCCATTTGGTCTCATTTTTCAAAAATTAAAACATATCAAAAATTAAAACATACTATAAAACTCAAATTATATATCTATTATATTAAATTAAATTTCAAAAATTATTTTCATATCCATATTTTCAAATCATCAAAAAAAGTTGACCGACAGGCTCCTGCTGATGTCTCTCACTGCAAATAGTTGTCTGATTAGCGGTGTTTGCCTACTCGATTTTTGCTACCTCTCCACTTTCATGACTAAGGTATTGACATCTCTCAACGTTCAATAGGGGTGCAGTTGTACGACGTTGCCGATAGCAGGTTTCATTCTTCCAGATAATGCACTATCAAATGTTCTTCTGTCTTGAACAACTCTTATTTCATCTATAATTGGCCAAACTGCCCTATGAACTCCTCCAATGATAGGTATCGCTGCTGCAAGTGATGGAGCCTCAAAAATATGTCATGACAGTAGTGGGGTGACATGTATTTTCCTGCATCTCTTTTCTCGTCGTTTTCCCCTTGGTAATCTTATCATTGTTTTCTCTTTTTCTTTGTTTGCAGGTTTTTCCACCACAGAGAGGCATTATTCTTCAACTTGATGATTGCTAGTTTTATCCATTTAGCCTCTGACATGTCCTTATACTCGAAGATTCACTCGATAAATTGTGGCCATTCGAGAATGTCGTTTGGATCCATACCTCCATGAAACTCCGGTAGATCCACTTTAATGCTCAAATCCATGCGTCCTTATTTGGGCTTATATCGGCCTTCTTTGATACAGAATTTCAAAGCTTTGGGGCCTGTATTCCTCATTACCGACGTCTTCTTTATGGAACAGATTCAGATCCTCTTCACGTTCTCTCCGTTGACTCTCCAGACCTCGATCAAGCGTAATCTTCCCCCGGGTTTCGCTATCAATCTCTACAAACCTCTATTGAAGACGACAAATCTCCTGTTGTATCTTATCTTGGGTAGGTTCTGACATGTATCTCGTTGTTGACATGGTTAGGCTTTGGAACTTGTGGGAGTGCGCAAGGTATTGGGTGGTAGGAAAGAAAATTTATTGGTTATGGCAGATGCTATGAAATTTTAGGATAGGCTAGGGTTGAGCTAGCTCTGATTCCAAATAATACCGGAATCAATCCAAACTACAATAAAAATATAAATATTATTGCTGAAAATGCAAATGATACAATGACAACTCTTCATAATAATAAGAAAACAATACAAAACACACAAATATAAGGGTTGTGAGGGCACCTGGAGAGTAAGGTGGGTGCGTCAACAACAGGTGACAAGGGAGTGAGATATGATAACCACCGGGAGGTGGATGGGGTCTGGCTGCATAGCAGTGGCTGGGGATTACGGCTGGTGATAGGGAACCAAGAGAGGGAGTGGTGGGTAGTGACAACAAAAAGGAGGGAAGGATGGGTGCCTTAGACGACTTACAACCAGAGCACGTCGCCTTCAGATACGAGATGCAGTCCTAGACGGGAAAACAACCGCCGATGGCAAGCTGGACAAAATTCTCAAACACTTAAAAAACTGAACCCTAAAATCAAATAACAACTTATTTATAAAAAAAAAAATAAGATAACTAGGAGGGGGAGGAAAAGAAGACGGCGGCAACCCTTCTTAGGGCCTACTGATTCAACCTCTTTGTTGAGCCGGTGCCGATTCAATCTTAGCAGCACCCAGCGGCACATTTAACCTTATGCATGAGGCCCCCCCATTTCATTGATTTTGTAAATTTAAAGGGGGCATTATGGTCAATTAGCTAGGATATCATAAGAGGGGCTGACTCGCACTTGGGAGGAAATGGGCAATAACTGGTTGGTTCAGGTCATATTCTATCCCTTAATTCTTACATCCCTTTTTAAATTTACTTTAAATCACATAAAATGATTTTAAAAAATGATGAACTAGTTAATGGACCTGCAACTTATTTGGAGCAAGCATGTTAGGCATAAAATTTCTAGCAAACATTGATCAATTTTAGCTTGTGCAATTAATTGTAGAAAGATTTACATACATATCACTTAATTCCCATGTATTTACATATCTAACACCTGCATTTAAGTTTATACATACATCTATGCATGAAAGGTGTATTTTACATTTGAAAAGTTAAAGTGATGGTATTATTTATATTATATGAAAGCTTTGAGTTGTATAAATGTAAAGATAAAGTTTAGGTGTTAGATGTGTAAATATATAGGAATTGGTAGCATGTATATAAGGGTCCCTTAATTGTAACATCTCAACAATCGTGCAACTTGAACATTTTAAGCTCCTTCATTTAACTGACTCGTTGGTCAACTAATCTTGCAATCGTTTCTGACAAATGATCTACAAATATTAAATTCTGCCCACTTCTTTAAATTTCTGATGTGCTTATCAACTTTGATTTTTTATTATTTTTTTTGTGATTGCACAATCTTTTGATCTTTTAGTCTGAACTTCTGTTCTTTCTTTCAGTTATTTCACAAGATCATAGCTTCCGGAAGTGCAGTCAGCTTTACCACTTATTCAGTTGTATTGAAGAACCTTCTGGCTGCTGGTAGATGGAGGAAATATATTGAGGTGAGGATAATGAAGTAATGTGCGTTTTTATGATTTCTAAGCTGATTATTTCGGCATTCTATATTTATTAACTCGAGCAGATGTCATACAGATGTAGTATCAGTTGATAGAGATTAAGGAATATTTACATACATACCACTCTATTGCCATGTATATACATATTTAACACTTGTACATTAATTTTTACATTCATACCACCATACTTATGCATGAAAGAGGTATATTTCATTTTTTAAAAGTTCAAATGGTGGTTTTTTTATGTGATTTAGAAGATTTGGATGGTATAAATTTAAAAGTTTAGGGGTTAGATATGTAAATTCATAGGATTGGAATGTTATGTTTGTAAATGCCCCTAATAATCGTAAGGATGGTTTAATAATATATTTTATAAACATTATCAAAACTATTTTTTGCATGTGTTGACCTTCATATTTGATATGCAAATCTATTTAGTAGGTAGGAAAATGATTGAAGACAACTGTGTATGAGAAATTGACTAAGAATGTTGTGAATTCATCGTTTATTTTTGCAAATGGACCTTTCTAATGCATTTTGAATAATGAGATGGTGTGGTAGGCCTATCACTGATCTCACGTGTGAGGAGAGGGAATCTGCAGAGGGAAGTATGCACGAATACACATATTCTTTAAAAATTGACGATAATAGAGATACTTATATTATAGTAATAAATAAATAAAACTTAGTTTATAGGTTTGTCAATAATATAAGGACTTCCAGCCCCCCGCACACTCAAAATCTTTTTTTTTTCAAGTTTTTTCATTTCATTTTCTCGACTATAAAAACTCCTTCAACCAAACCTCCCTTTTCTTCTCATCCTTGTTCTCATATCCCTTGTTCGACGTCTAACCTGACCGCTTGCAAACACCTCACCATGAAGAGCAAAAGAATAGAGGCTTCGAGCAACCCCATTTGCTTCATTTTGACACAATTGGGAGCACATTTTACTGCGATTTTAGTTAGTTTTATGTATAATTGACTCTAAGGATGTTTATATTTGTAGGAGGATAATTTTTTATCGATTATGGTGTTCTATGCATTGCTCTTGAAATGTCTTTATTAGCTACCTCCCCTGGCAGTGGCATGGAAGTATTGTTGACATTCATCCAAAAGTTTGGGAAAAAAAAGCCTAGAAAAAAATGTCATGCATGTGAGTTTTTGTAATTCCCTGTATATTGGAATCGGCTGGCACAGATTCAATTGCACTAATCGGTGTGTGCTTCTACATGAGGGTAGGCAGAGAAAGAGATGTCTGCTCGGGGAGGTCGTGAATTGCATAGGAGCAACATGTGACGAAGATGGGGTAGGCTTTGTATTGAAGTCGAGCCTATCTCCTCTGTGTCGAATCGGTTCTCCAATCTCATGGCTTTGTGTGATTGTATGTGAAAAGGCGATGAAGTTGAGCAGTGTAGGAGTGATGTCAACGCCCTTAGGTGTGCTCCTGCGGCGACGCCAACTGTTGATGGCCATCTGACTCGTGGCGGCGGCCGGCCTTTCCACTTTCAGTGCTAAGGTCTATACAACCCCAAGTGACCAATACGGCTGCAACTGTACCATATATTGCTAATACCGGTCTTCAGATCCCCTAGGTACTGGGTTATAATGTGCTCATCTGGTTCAGTCAGCTCACATTTCATTTTTAAGTGGTTGAAATGTGTCATTGTTGTAGATTGTGGAGCTTCAAAAATATGTCCTGACGAGTTAAAGCCGGAGCACCATTTTGTCGTTGGATACAACCCTCGGAAGGGAAGAATGCCTCAAAGGAAGAAAATTGAATTCTGGACTCATCAAAAACTAGTTTACCGTAAGCGACATAACATATAAAATGGATCCTAGCAATATGAATATGAAGAGATTGTAATTTGGAAAGGAATAGATTTGGAAGGTGGTAGATAGAGTAGACAATGGAATAGGAAGAGGAACTCTCTGTGGAAAGAACTGAAATAGGAAATGAGTTGCGGAGGGGACGGTAATTCCCGCCCCTAGAGGCCGGCCGATCCAGCATTTGGCCAGTCCAGCTCATGGCCGGTTCAGCCGGCTCCCTACATGCCCTGCATCAAAGCCATTTTAAAGTGAAACATTAGAACAATTGAGAAAACTATTAGAAGGATACTAAATTTTGTAGAATATTGATTGTGCACATGACATGTAATTTTTAGTGTATCTGAAGTTGATAAAATTAAGTAGTATTTTTAAAAGATCAATTAGGGTGTACTATGTGTAAATATCTTGGATATTTTACAAGAGAACAATGAAATTCATGAAAAAATAAAATAGCATTTAGATATCATGCGACGTGGTTAATATGAAAAGTACCTATAAAGAAATGAAGCTAAGGTTTACACAATCACAATTATATTAGTTATATTATATGAATTCAAGCTTTTTGCAAAGAGGAATGAATTCAAAATTAAGTTGAGTGTGACAAAAATAAGATTATTATGTTGAATTTGTGCCAAAACTGAGAAGGATAGGGAAGAATTGTTATATTAAAAAGGTGATGAAGTTCTAACTATTCAAGATAAAGGATAAAGGCCTATCTTAGATTTGTACTTTTATAAAGTGAGACATGGCCAATAGTGTGAAGAGTAGGGATCATATACATGGCCTTATGGTTGGGAGTTGGGGTATAAACTATAGGCCAAGGCCAATTCATAAATAATCATGCATGCAGACCTATGTAAGATAGGTTAGTAGGAAGACTAAGGTTACACATGTAAAAAGTGGAGAGCAAAAGGTGCATGAGCCAAGTTGATTCAATTGATGTGTAAGAATTATGAAATAACAAGGCTGCACAAAAGGTGACTAAAGTAGTTGTGAAAAAAGGAAATTCACAAATGGGGCCTGATAACTGATGTATTAATCAACAAAAATGAATTAAGGGGAAAAAAATGAAGTTTCACAGGCATACCACTTCATTCTTATGTATTTACATATCTGACACCTAAATTTCAAATTTTACATATGTTTCACCTTACTTATTGTACATGGAAAGGTGTATTGCTTGTTTTAAAAGTTAAATTAGTATTATTTTTTATGTGATATGAGAGATTTGAGTGGTACAAATGTATAAATTAAAGTAGAGATATTATATATGTGAATAGTAAATACATAAGAATTGGGTGGTATGTTTCGAAAGAAAAGAAAGATTCTAAAGTAGTTTCCAACAAGCTGGGATAAGGCTAAGTTAATTTTGATCACGATGGAATGATGAAATCTTGTTTATAGAATGTGTTTTTTATTACGCTATTTTTTTCCATTTAAATGTGTTCTTTGTTCCATTTCTTGCATTGTTTTTTTTTTTGTGTCGTTTTAAATTCTATCTCCATCATTTTGTGCAAATTTGCTTTCATTTTCTTTCATTTTTTCTTCGACTTGTTTGATTGTTTATAGATATTACAATGGATGGAGGATGGAGGGTTACGACCATCACTTCAAATGTATCGCAGTGTTCTTTCCCATGTTTTAAAGGACAAAAGCATGAAGCATGCTGTTCTCATTCGAGAAAGAATAAGTAAGGATGCTGTTACCTCCATAGTTCTCCCGCTTACTAATATAATTTCGTAATTTAAATTTTTGTTCCGTTGCAAAAAGTTCAGAACCATACTCAGAAAACATGTTTATCAAAAGAGTCTTAAAAAAGAGAGTACATGACTTTTTTTCTATTGGATTTGTAGTTTTTTTTACTATTATTGGAAAAAAAAACTTCCAGAAAGCTATAATTACATAATCATCTTTTAAATTTAATTCAAAACAGTCGAAACATAAATAAATTAAAATGCTCATCTCGACATGCTGAAATATATCATTTTATTTAATTACTATTGTCAGTTTATGCTATAGGCTCATCATCTAAAATGTTGAATCTTTTTCTTTTTTCATCATGCAAAGTTATTCATAAATAGTATGTGTTCTTGAATAATCATAACTTCGTATTTAAAATTATAATATTTTGTTTAATATGCTCGAACACATTAGCACATATTTGAACCTTGGCCATCGGTTTTAGCCTACAATAATGATTTTATTTAGAATTTTCTACCAGAATAAATTGACGGCGCTGCACTATTAGTAAATTCTATTTTCTTTCAACTTAACATCTTTAATCTTAAAGCCGATACATTTGCTTTTTTGATGAAGCACCATAAGTATTACACTTATGCAAAATTTTTTCTCTTTTGAAATTTAATTCCCAAGGTAGGAATCAGAACTATATTTAATGAGTTCAATGATAAATTCAAAGCAGGTGTGAATGCAGGTTGAATATGTTGATTTCCATGTTGCAGTTCTAGTCGTTTCCATTATGTTGGCTAATAATTTGCAAATAATTCATTATTTCTTAACAATTTTCTTAGCAAGCTATTTACTGTTTGTTTGTTTGTTTTTTCTTTTCATCTGTAACAGTGTAGAAATTTTGAGTATATCAGAGCATTTGTGGCATGAATAAAGCTCCTTCTGTGAATGTGAAAAATCTAATCCTTTATCTATTCTGAGATTTTGATCCTTGATTAGAAGTTAGACCTTGTTGAATTCTCACTATCACTCTCTAGAGTTAGAGACATAAATTTTGATTTTTTTTTCTCAATAAATGTTTTGAGTTATCATGTCATTTTGGGGGTCATTTCAGTTCCATAGTTTATAAAAATATCAATTTAATCCTCATACTCTTTATATGTATTGAAATAGTCTACAGTGAGTATTATTTAAGCTCCAATGAATGAATTTGGGGACTAGTTTAATACTTTTTTAAACTTTTAGACTAAAATGCTCCCCCTGTAAATGATCAAGAGACTATTTGGACACTTCAGTCCATGTTTTTTACCAATTTGTAAGTAGTTAGTAAGTAATTTGTTTAGTCTACTTCCATTATAGGAAATATTTCTGAGTCGGCAGGTTCCCTGTACTTGCCTTTTTAGCTTTGTAGTCTTTTTACCAAAAATAATCTCTGTAAAACGTTCTCAGATTCACTGAGGGAAAAGGTTGGCTGAAATTCATTATAAAAAAGTTCCAAATACTCCAATCCAGTTCGATTTACAGAGGAGCACAGATCCAGAGCAAAGATTTGTCTCTGTTCAAGCAGATTGAGAAATCAGAAACTATGGCTCCAGTTGATTTGTGAAACAGCTTTCATGTTACGTCACCTGTAAGAAGATCGGGGAAGCTGATGTTTTTTCTCTACAACGGGTTCTGAATTCAACGGTTGGTAATCAATGAGTGCTTGGGCTCTGCTTTTCTACAATAACAATTGGGGGCATCTGCTTATCTGGCTTCTTCTTAAGGTTGGCAGCAAGGCTTTTAAACTTATTTTTTTCTTGGGAAATTTACATATGTACCCCATAATTCATTTAGGGATATTTACAGACATACTTCACGATTCTTATGCACCCGAAGTTTGATATTTGCACTTGTAACATGGTGTCATAAATTTATACATTAAAATATATGTTTCACTTTTCAGAAGATAGTTTTAGGTGCATTTTTTATGTGATGTTAAAGTTTTGAGTGGTATGAATGTAAATATGAATGTGTAGGTGTTAGATATCTAAATACATAAGAATTGTGGTATGTATGTAAATGCCCCTTACAATTACTATACATAAAAATGAGTGATGTTTTTTTATGTGATGTATATGAACTTATTGGTGTTAAATATGTAAATGTATTAGGCTTGTGTAGTATGTATGCAAATGCCTCTTTTTCTTGTGTTTCTCAGCTATAAATGTAATGAGCCATAAACCATTAATAAGTGATTGTTTTAATGATACTTAATGTGTCCAATTTAGCTTTTGACTACTCAAATTTGATTTAACAGTCCCATGGTTTTTCAAATTTAATTTAAATAATTTAACTAAAAGATTATTTCAAATCACGTTTGAAAAGTTTAGAGGCTATATCGAGCTTATTTATAATTTATAAATTATAATTTAGGATTAAAATATTTTTTATATAAACCATTCAAAAGTTCAATTATATAATGCAATAGAATTAACTAAATGTGTATATGATTATTTTATGAACAAAAATAAGATTTGTTTTTATCACAATTTTGTCATGTCATTATGAGCTAACTTGTGCGTTTAATTAACGCAACAACAAAATAGATTGTTGTGGTTATATTTTTATATGTATTTATAAGTACTTATAAGGGTAAAAATGTAATTTTTTTTAACATGCACTTACATTTCTGTATAATTGTTCTAAAATTTAAACGAGAGGATGTCATATTTTAGTAAGCATATGTATTGAGTCTTGAGTTGGTTCAATTTGGCTCAAGTAATAATTGAGTCAAATAAAGTGGGCATATGTGTAAAATCTAAGTTTTGCTACACTCATTAGCTAGTTTTAAAAAACTATAATATCTAATATACTTGAATATATTGAAAATTAAAAATATTAGTACAAAGTTATAAAGCATTTGATATCACTTTTTAATATTAGCCATTGTATTATGTATGCTCTAATTGCTAATGAAAAGTTGTGGAGTAGAATATTTTACCTAAATTTATAAATATAATAGTTAAACAATTACTTCAAATTTATATTATATTTATCATATAAAAATTTAATAATATTATGTAAGAAATTGATCCATATATAAATTTGTACGCAGTATACCTCAGCCTCCTCAGTGTAAGATCGCTTGGGTCGGGGCTTCGAATGCTCTTTGACACTGTTGATCTTAAGAAGATGGTACTCGAATTGATAGACACATTAAGAGTGTATCATTCGGTTCATTATTTAAAAGATATAGTGATACTTTTATGTGATATGAAATATTTGAGAAAAGTAAAAGTTTACAGGTTAATTTATAAAAAAATGAGTGGCATGTATGTAAATGCCCCAAAAAAATTTGGTATATCAACATAATAGATTTGATTTGATGAGTGTAAAACAATCTATGTAAATGCCCCAAAAAAATTTGGTATATCAACAAAATAGATTTGATATTATGAGTGTAAAACAATTAAATTTTTCTAAAAAATTGATTCTTCATCCTTTGAAATGGATTCATAAAAATGGAGACATGGATCAAGGCGGGGTTTCAGGAGGGCGGCAGGGCTGCAGAAGACGGGATTGCGATGGAGATGCGACCGATTCAAAGCGGCCTTCTCGGCCCCTCTCCCCTTCCGTTGGACGCAAAGCTTCAGGCTTCAGGGCGACCCGCCGGCGATGCTGGCTGGCTCCCTGGCCGCGAGCCTAGTGGGCCTTTTCCTTCTATTGTTCCTTCTCCTTCTTCTCCTCCTTGTCCTGGCCTGCCGGCCCTTGCGCTTCTTCAACCGCCGGCAATCGTCCACATCGAGCTTAATTAAGGTCTGGCTTTTCAATCGCGCACTCTGGTATTTTGGATAGTGAGTAATGCGATTAGTCTTTTAGGAGAGTTTGTAATTGGCGCTGGGGATGATCGCTGTCTTGATTTGTTTTATTTGCTATAATTTGGGCCTATTTTATAAGTTCTCATTCATTTTCTATGTCCATTCATGTCCATTCATGTTCAGGGCTGAGCTCATGTTCGGCTCATTAAAAAATATCAGTGTTCATGTTCAGTTTGTTTATATTTCGAACATAAAAAAAAATTTTCGTGTTGGGCTTTAACGAGCCGAATACGAGCTATTCAACAACCCTAGTCACGCAACCGTTAGGGGTGCAAACAAGCCTAGCTTGAACGAGCACAAACTAGGCTCGTGTTTAGCTCGTTAAAAAATATCATTGGTCGCGTTTGGCTCGTTTGCTTATCGAACTTAACACGAGTGTTCATGAACAACGAGCCATTTTGACAACCCTATTCGAACAGTTGTAGGATGTTAAGAGTAGGGCGAGATTTCAATCTTATTATTCATATTAAAATATTCATTTAAATAGAATTTAATATGTTTTTATTCTTTTTTTAATTAGTAATTTTAATTGATTATAAATTTTTGTAGCTCTATAGTCAATTTAATTATTTCAAGCCAAAACGAGCCTAATACGAACAAACAAATCTTCGTTAGTATTCAACTCGTTTATATATCGAGCGAAAAAAAATTGTTTGTGTTTGACTCATTTACTTAGTGAACGAATCAAACATGAGCTACTTAATGAGCCAAACACGAGTTGTTTATGAATAATGAACCATTGACAACCCTAATGTTTAGTGCTGCAATAATTATTTATCAATTGTGGGCATGTTTCCTTTTGAAGAATGTGTGTGTCATCATGACTTTATTGTTTTTTTTTTTTTTTGAAATGTTATGCTATTGTGCGTTCTTTAAGGTTTTCTGCTTTATGGTTCTCTTTATAGTGCTTGAATGTTTTTGTCCTCTATGTGGCTTGCAAGGCAATGGAGGTCTAATATTCATTCGTTTACTTAAATTTTTTGTTGCCTCGAACTATGGCTCAAGTTGATTTGTGAGATTCATTTATGCTTAAATCACAAAAGCAAAGACTATAAAATGGATTAAGGTCATGTTATCAATATAGGCCTGTATATAGCCCCATTTTAAGAGCCCACTATTTAGTTTTTAATAATTTATGTCATTAATATCATAGAAAACTCCATTGTCTCCCTCCATTTTAAATTTCTTATCTTATCAATTATATCTCGATCTATATCCTCACTTGTTTATGTACAAAGTCCTAAATACGAAAAATTTTGTTCTATCTCGTTGTCATTTTCAGTGCTAGTAAAGTTACGTGATATAGACCTTGATGCAATACATGTCTTTACTTTGGTCAATTTTGCCCACAAAATTCCAACTAGTTAAAGGCCAATTACAAAGAGTAAAACCATATCAAATCATAACTAAATGAGCCCGTTTTCAAACCGTTTTAGGTTCATTAATATTTATGACCTAATTTCTCTTTTTTACTTATTTTATCTGGTTTTTACCTTCTTTTGGATGATAATAAATTTGAACGTTTGTTAGGATTGAATTTTCTTAATATTTGATTTTGTTCTTATAAACTAATTTCTATAATTAGGGATCATGATTTTAATTATTGATTACTGTTTACTGACTGAATGGGTGCAAATTATGTGTTAGGCTGATTGAGTGCTCTCTAGATCCAAATTGTGCATGCAATTCACTCAAAATTTGCATGCAAAATTCTTATCCTTTCTTCTTGTCAATTTGATTTCATATTATTTCGAACCTTAAAGGTTCTTTAAACTCAATACCCTTAGTCATTATCCAATCTTCAAGCTATTAGCCTCCACATTTGTAAAATTTGTAAAACTTCCTATAATTTGGTTTAGAAAGGCTTTAAAATGGGCTCGATTTAGTTTTTTTATTGCCTGGTTAACTCATTGTAATTGACATATATCCACTCGGAGTTTTGTGGGCTGATTTAGCTTGTTTAAAAGATCTTTGTGTTTCATACATGCTTTTCATTCTACTAACTCGACATACCCCATCTTCTAAATTATCTCACCATGGATGCAACTTTTATTGATTTCATTATTGTATCGTCTAGTATCACCTTATCGTATTCAAATAAGGTAATTCATTCTCATTTTGCTTGCTTTTTTTTCCTTAGTTAACCAAATTTATATCTTCAAACCCTTAAATGTTTACATGATAAAATAATGCTGGGTTTTAATTTATGCAGGTTGATGACATAGAGCAACCTCTCATTACTGAAAACTCAGCTGATACTCCTGATCAAGGCTTTACTCGGAACTTTGTTGATGAATCTAATATTCAAATCGAGGGAAATAATAGTTCGCCAAAAGCAGTTGGGTCTATTGGAAATGTTAATTCTCCTAGAAAACATGGGCTTGTTATTAAGAAGAGGGTTTCAACAGACTTTCAAGTTGGCACAGGTATTGTCGAAGTTATATCTTAATTTAATCTTAAACTGACATCTATTTTCTTAGTTGATTAATAAGCAGGTTATTATTTTTATTATAGGGGATAGCTTTGTGTTGGATGTTATTAGTGATGAATCAAAAAATCGTCATGTTGGTCAAACACTTAAACGTGTAGCTGAGCCGATTTTGCCATGTGAAGGTGCAAAGCATGTCAGATGGGACGACTCTAGCTATGACTTGGAAATCATTGGTGATAATGGCAGAACTAAAATTTCTACCTTCAAGGATATTGCAATTATACGTATGAACTTTTCTTTAATGATGATTTTAGTCTTTGTTTGGTAATGCTTTTCTTCAGCATTTCTTTTCACTAACATTGCATATGATGCACCATAACACAATTTTGATTTTTGTGGGAAGTACATGATGGAAACTAAATTATGATTTTTTTTTAGCATTGCCTTCTTCCAGTTCATGAGCACAGCATCTTTTGGGATTAGCGATGACATTATTTTGTACAGCAGAACACACTTAGGAAAAAAATATATAAGGAAAGAAAAAAAGGAAGGAAAACCCTAAGTTGCCAAATTAACTTTAGAATTTGCATGTTGTCAAACCATTTTACCAGCCTATTAGCTATTTATAAATCTTGTCATCCCATCTTTTTGTTAGAAGTGCAGGAAGCAGTATAATTCTTGAAGTCATTGCTGGTCCTTCTGTTGGTATTCATTGCTCAAGAAATTCAAAAGACAAGACTCTTCTTCCATTAACCCTTGGAAGGGTTTCTCCTAGTGATTTGATACTGAAAGATTCAGAGGTTTCGGGAAAGCATGCACTTATTAATTGGAACATGCTTGTAAGATCCGCGACAGTACTTACGTTGTGTTCATTAACTTATTGTGGAAGAAATCTTCTTTTTTTATTGAACTTTTGTGGTGATGTGATTGTTTGGTTGGGTGACTGACTTTGCGTGGGTGATATGATTATGTTAGGCATTGTGAAATGGGAGAAAAAAAATTCATGTTATAATTGGTTTTTACCTTTTTGACGTAGGGGCTAGAAAATTTTCTTACATTTAAAAATGAATTTGTGGTCCCTTCTTTTGTCAAAGTAATGTATAGAAGGAAAGTTATTCTATAAATATGCGGATTTTTTTCCAAAAGCACCAAAATAGAAATATGGCTCTTACCAAAAGAAGATAACTTCATTGGCAAACTATTCTTGAGCTGATGTATTTAGGACACTTTTATTTTTCTTTGTTTAATTCTTTAAATGTCTTTTTTTTAGTGATTGTGTGTTCAATGTTTAGTTCCAAGTTAATTTTCAGAATGGCAGATTGGATTTTAGATAAGATACTACTCTAAAATTTTGCTCTTGTAAAAAAAATAAAAATAGACCAAAAAGATCATGTGTATTCACCATCATTGGAAACCTACTGATGCAAATTTTATTGTTGATTGCCTCTCATGAAGTTATAAAATGCAACACCTAAAAAAACCCTCCTAAAATTCTTTATGCAATGTGTTTTGAACAATGAGTGAATTCTACATGCTCTTTTCTCAGCACAAAGGGAGAATCTCGGAAGTGTTGATTGCGATATAGCTAGTAAAAAATGTGTACGTTTTTCTTAGTATAATGGGGAAAATATTCTATCTTTAAAAATTTCTAATGTAGATGTCCCATATGCCTTATTTAGCATGGTGGGTTTCGAAGATCATGATCAAGGGTGCTTTAGGATCCTAATTATTTAATTTTTTTATGCATGATGACAGGCCAAGTGATTCTTGTTGATGCCCTCTGTGCGAAGGCCATGCCAGGAGATTGCTAAAAAATATGAATAAATGAACATGAGAAGAACAACATAATGGATTGTGGACATGAATGCAACTGGAATTAAAATGGAGGAGTACACAAATGATAAAATAAGAATCAAATAAAAATTTAAAATGAGAGAAAAAAAATTTGCGAGTATTGAACATAAGAGACTACAAGCTATTATAGTGGGCCTAATAACTTTCCTACTTGCAAGAACAGAACCTCCTCACCATACTTCTAGAGCTCTCTTGAACACTCTTTGGCAATTAAAAATGTATATGTTTGTGAGAGTGAACTAAGGGGACTCCCTTATTTATAAATAAAAAAATGATTATTTGCAAGGCCCACGTTGTAAAAGCAAAAAGGTTACCTTTTGAAATGCATAAATGATGTCAATTTGTAAATGTGAAAAGCTTCCTTGGATGATGCAACCCATAATCACTGACAAGAATCCTTCCGTTTGGTTGAGTAAAAATAATTCTCTTCATAAGTAAATCAGAGTCCATAACATCAAGGATAACAAAATCGCAGGATTTTGATCAAACTCGTACTTATTTTCCATGATTTTCCCTATGTTGAAAGTTATAAATTTATTAATTTTAATATCATGTTGTTACCATTTTACATTGATTATTGGTATTCTTGCGATCGAAAAGAATAATTAACCATAGCAGCATGTGCTTATGTGATGCCTGGGACAAGATCTTTAAGTTTTCATAAAATGAGGGCAAAAGTTATGGGTAGTTTTATACCTTTGTGAAACCTAGAAGTGTATCTTAATATCCTCATAAAATGAGGGAAAATTTTTTGGTTAATTCTTATTTTAAAAATTCAATCTTCTTTTCTGAGAAACTAACTCAAAAATAAACTCTTTTTAACGTATAAGGATTAGTAGTTAGAAGAGGTGGTCAGTGGGCGGGGAAGACAATTGGGTTTAACTGCTTCGTACAGATTTGCTTGCAGTTAAGGTTTTGATATGATCCTCACCTCATGTCATGAATTAATTCTATGTTTCTGTTTTTTGTTCATGGTCCTAAAACACTACATTTTTTTGTTGACAGAAATCAAAATGGGAGCTGGTAGACATGGGCAGCTTGAATGGAACATTCTTAAATTCTAAGGCAATTCATTATCCAGCTGCTGGATCCAGGAATTGGAGCGAGCCTGTTGAGCTTTCAAGCGGTGACATTATCATTCTTGGTTCATGCTCAAAAATATCTGTAAGTGAAATTACTATACTCTTGCAATGTTTAGCTTCATATTGTTCTATGATCCTTAAAGACGTATAATCATTTTCTTTCTTATAGGACTACTGTGTGATTTTGTACAAACTATGTGAATATACATTCCAGAATCCATGAAATGGAGTTCTTTTAAACTTGCTCCAATTTCTACGTCTATTGTTGGATTTTGATCGAACCTAGTTTTGTTTTGTGGTACTCCTAGCTTTGTTATGTTTCGTGATTGCAGAAGATTTCATTCTCTAGTATCTTTACAATTTGTTATGTTTCGTGATTGCAGAAGATTTCATTCTATAGTTTCTAGTATCTTTACATTGAATGTTTGTAAACTTAATGTTATTTATTCATATAATATGCAAGAGTGTGTGCATATAATTTGTAATTTCTTGTTAAACTTGTATGTAGTTTCTGTTTCAAGGTATCTTGAAGCTTCACATTAGTTTTGAAGCTTCATTTGATCTGTTATTCATGATTTCCAACTCTTCTTTTTGATAACTATACTTCTTTGTCAACGTTTAGACTCTTCTCAGTTGGGTTTAGTTGTGAATGGTTTTTCTTTCTTTCTTTTGTTGTCTTATCATGTTCTTCCAAATATTTGTTTTGTTATTGACTTGTTAATAGCGCACTGTATAGGTGACTTTTTCTTGATCAAGGGGCCTTTAACTTTATTGGCTAGCATGCTTCTTGTATATTTGAGATTATTTTGGGATACTCGGTAGTTCATATTGTGGTTTAAACTAGGCTTGCTTTAACTTCTTAGTAGTTATTGATTTTCATTTTAAATTTGGACTGAAATTTGTTTTTAGTTTTATATTTACAAGTTTACTATTAGCGAATGATTATGTTGACCTATATAGATATTCCATATTCGATTCAATCAAACGAAGTGATCACAATGAAAGATAGATGTATTACAAGAGCTTAGATCAAATTATCGATTGTAATAAAAATTATTCAAATATTGCTCGTTTAAAAAAAAAGGATTATAGTTATGCATCCAGAATATTGAAATTTTTTTGAAGGAATCTCCATGATCAATTTGACCAAACATGATTAAAATGACATATGACAAACATGGCGTTGCATAAATCAAGGATGAAATGTCTTCATCGCAATCAAAATAACCCAATTGTTGTTCGTTTATAAAATGAATTACTACTATGTACATGGACTGTTAACATTATCAAGAAATTTCTCTTACGATCAATTCAATCAAAAGCAACCAAAATGACAGACAATGGATGTGTCATTGTGCAGATAGTGTTTGTAATGTATCACTCTCTATAAAAACAACTCAATTGTTACTTGTTTGCAAAATGAACTGCACAAGACGATCTACTAAAGTTGCATCATTGCGCGAATTTGGCTTGAAATATCTCGACCAAAATTGAAACTACTCAAACTTTGCTAGTTTCTAAGTGGGCTGTATTGTTATGTTTCGAATATCGAAAATACTTATGATAGATACCAATATTGCATAGGGGTCGTAGCACAAGAGTAAAACACAAATTTGTATGAACATGGAGAGATGGCATGCAATATAAGGTGTGAATGATGAAGAAATTATGAACAACACACAAAAAAAAAAAAGAGAGAGAAGCTGATTATAGTTATCGAAATTTTAACTTATTTTTAAGGAGGATTCAAGTCTGAGAATGCTGCACAAACTAATATAAAATAAATATGTCTTCATGTATTCTAAAAAATGTGTTAAAACATTTGAACCTAAAATCTAAGAATGTTGTACAGATTAAAAATGAGATAAACTCAATTTGCTTTTGTGATGAGAAAGGTGCAAATATTTTGAAAGCCTTGCTACTATTTTGAAAATAAAAGCTCTTTCTTCTCAAAGTATAAACCATCAAACTACACTTATTCACAAGCGGATCATCTTTCTTACAATGTAAGGTTGTTTTATATTTCAATTCTAATTTTCCATGCTCCTTGGAGCTGACAAGATTTCAACCTTGTGACTAGCATTATACAAGAAGCTTAAAACGGCCAAAGATTCAGTTTTTTATTTCCATAAGATTTGAAGACCTCTGTTAAAAAGAACAAATCTTTTTTAATGTAAACTTTTGATTTCAAACTTATAAGGAAAATCACGATTTTAAATCTATCAAACTGATTCTCTACACATGGGGCAGAGGTTACGAAGATCGTAAAACAACTAGTATTAAAATAAACTAAAATGATATGCAAACTATGAACATGATTCTGTACAAGTAAGAGGCATAGTCAATAAGTTTTAGAACAATCAATCAAATACTCTTATAGGGGGCATTGTTATAGTACTTCATAACTTGAGCGAGTTTATTTTCAAATTTCAAATATTCAAATTGCACGTACAAACGTGTTGGGAAATTTCACAATAATGGTAGTCGTGTTGATAAAAAAATCTTAGTTAAAGACATCATTGTTACTATACTACCCACAATTTGTTATATAAATTCAGGCTTAAATTCTGATAAAATATGAAAGTTTCAAGAAAACTACAAAATTTTAAGAACTTTCTAGTAAATTCTATCACACTTAAGCTTAAAGTAATAATTTATTCATCTTTTGCATTAGTTTATCAAGGTTTTAAATGTAAGATTAATCTAAGCTCGCAAAGAATCAATATCATATCATGCATATTTTTATGGTCACTCTTAAAAAATCTCACATTCGTAAGGATGTGCATTTGTCATTTAATCATGTGATTTTTTTGCTATTTAATCATGTGATTTTTTTGCTATATCAAATGATATCACAAAAGAAGTAGTTAAGATTAGTGTCCTCAGACTACTTGCTCGAACAAAATGACACAATTATATTATAGTCACGCCCAAAGATTGATTAGTCCCCAATGGTTCAAACCCCTGTAGTTGTGAACCATGTGATGCACTTGATATGGCTCAAAAGCTTTTTTTTAGTTAATGTTAATTTAAAATTGTCCTCATAGAAAAATATCTACCCTTGTTCGATAAGGTTTCTTTTGATGATGCAACACATAGTTGTTGATAAAGATGTTTTTATCAGGTTAGGTCGATTTCCCTCACCATTAGCTTTAAGTTATATAGGCAGCAAATTTTGGAATCTAAAGCCAAAACGTGTGCTAATAATCGCTAAGCACTTGTCATCTAGTGGCTAGCTTTAACTGAAAGTTTTATCTCATCATTGATAAAGTTTTATCTCATCATTAATGATGAGATACCTGATGTTAAAATCCTGATAAAATGAGGGTCAATTTTATAGGTAATAACTTATCTAAAAATTTAATCTGTCCTTTAAAAAGTTGTCTCGGAGCCACACATAGCTTTCCATGAAAGTCATGCTCGAATTTTCAATGTCCACAATAATAATTGCATTGTTCTTTTTCCTTGTTTTAAAAATTATATGTGTTACTCTTTTGACTTCTTTAGGTACAAATCGTGCAAGATGTTGAGTATGAACTGCCTGTTGGAGTTGGCATTGCATCTGATCCCATGGCCGCGCGTCGCGGTGGGAAGAAGCTTCCCATGGAAGACGTCTGTTACTGCAGATGGCCCCTTCCTGGTGTTGAACAGGTGATTACAAAAACATATTTTTGTCAACCCTTTTTTTAATAATGGTTAACATGCTCTACCTGCATTGCAGTTTGGACTATTTGGTATTTTTGATGGACATGGTGGGGCTGGAGCAGCCAGAGCGGCTAGCAAGTGTGTTTTCTGATTTATATATTTTTTTTTGTTTGCCTACTTGTATTTTGCATGTTTGCATTATTTGTTGTAGTTGATAGCCTTCTATATTTATGAAGTACAATATCTATCTACTGTAGTTTCTTTTATGTATTTGTAAGCAGAACCTCAATTATGGTTTTTTTATTATTTGTTGCCTTTTGTCATTGCAGTTGCCATCTTTAGGTTATGAATTGTGCATTTGTCATATCATTACTGCAGGAGAAATCTGAAGTAGTCCTGTTTCTCCCCCTTTTTTTTTATTTTTTTTAGTTTTCTGATTTCCTCACAATATACACTAGAAAAGATTTAGTTTATTTCACATTGTATGCAACTTATCTACAAATAAGTTTTCTTTTTAGTAAGTTCCTGGTCCCTTCTTCAAACAATTCCACAATTGATGCACAGTTAGGTTCGATTTGTTTTGCATTTTTGTATTGACTACAAGCTAAATTATATAATTGATACCATTCTAGTACTCTTAGAAGGTGTTTAGGAAGCAAGATTTGTGGGAGGCTGTTTTGAGATGACAAGGGTAAGGTAATATGCGAGTTTGACGACAATTGGATGGGGATAAGCATCGTTAGGCGGTTGTCCTGGCTGAGAACAGCAAGGAGAGCTCCGAAACGATGTTGTACGTGGTTCCAGGAGGTTCACCACCTGTTCTTAAGTAAGATACTAACATACCAATTGCAAAGCGAAGATCATACAATACTCCTAAAGCGGAAAATCAGATATTGCAATCTTCAAGATACTCAAAAAATCATAAGTGCAAGATATAAATATGAAAAAGCTAGAAAAATAAAACACTTGTTGAAATTGAAAAGATAATAGGATCATGCGGTCTAGCACCTTGCGATCATGAAAGTTAACAATTTTGCGATATCACAGAATAACCACGGTCTAACTTGTCACAAAATTGCAAAATTCTCAAATTTCGTACTCTTGCGGTTCTCTTGTGCACGGAACGACAACGTCCCGTAATTCAAACATTTGCTCTTCTTATGAACTAGGAGGGACTTCCTTCTCTAGAAATTTTTGGAATCGATCTACCATAATAATAAAATTATTATACTGCGGGGAGCCCCACTACAAAGCCTATGCTCACATCTACCCAAGACAACTTTTAAACAAGTTTGTCATTCCAAAGTCTATTATGGTAGAATAAATATTTATTATTTTTTGGTACAACCAAATTTGGAATTGCACTGACAAGTATTCTCACGAATCAAGCATCAAGCTATTAAATTCATAACTTGCTTCTCCTACTTCTCGTACTCGGCTAGGCATATTTGATAAACAAGTATGTCTGAAAGAACCGACCCTGGAATGAAATCTATGATATGTTGGACCACTTATAATGGCAATCACTTAGGAGATAAACTGTCAATCAGGGCATCCAACAACTCTCTCAACAGGGGTTGTCTTTTCTCTGATATCGGCTCCTTAAATTCATTATCTTTCAGGACATTCAATTTTAATTATGTTTTGACCTCTCTATTGGGCTCAGCTTGAATTACTGACATTGTTTCCTTGTTAGCTAGAAGTTGAGATTCCTATTTGATGTCTTCATTCTCTAATGTGTCGCTGTCTATTTCTTCAAATACCCATGTTTAGTGAAAGATACTATACTTATATTTGGGCAATCTGATTCAATATGCCAAAAATCATGACACTTGAAGCACTTTTGGTGAGTGTTGATGTTGGGGACTCCATCTTTTCTCCACTCCGGACTGGTTTCTCTTAAAGTGGGGTTGTCTTAGATGGCATGCCCCATTAGGTGTACTTTTGTTGTTTGATCTTAGGGTTGAACTTTGTTTGTACGGCGTGGCGGTCACTTGGTGACGTTGCTATTTCTGCTCCTTCAAAGCTACAGTTTGTACATCGAGTAGGGACTAATATGGTTGCAGTTACACCAGATACGAATAGATGAACCCCGTCTTTCAAGATACCTCGCTACAGTGTGTTCCTACGATTCCACAAACTCACATTTTAATATGATTTAAACAAATTTAGTTGTGTACTCTATAGAAGAATTTCTCTGACGCATGATGGAGTTTTATGAACATATCCCGTCAGTAATATGGAGGAAGGTATTTGCAATTCTTCTCCCTTTTCATCTTGAAACCAAGTGGTGATCTTACTATTTTTTCCCGTTTTTGATGATGCTTTAGGTTCTACTATCATAAGAAAGCATTCTCCCCAAACTTAATAGTGCCTAATTTGACCCTCCTGTTGGCTGGTGTATCTTTGTACTCAAAGACCCGGTTTCATTTTTTGGAGTCACTACATGAATTCATGCAACCATCAAAATCAGGTAAGTCGATTTTCACTCTAACATCTAAACTTCTTTAATATTCAACATCAAATCAACGTAGCAAAAGTTTTTCATCTTATGAAGTGGAAGGGATTCACTTCCTCCTTTTGATATCTTGAGTCATTGTTGTGGTTATAAGTGATCTCAACAGATTATCTTTTCTCAGAGGCAACAAACCTCTATTATAGTTGGAAGATTGTCCGTTGCGTATTCTTCATAATAAGTTGTTGGACACCTCATTTAGGGTTTCTCCTTACCGACATGGCATCATTTTCTCCTGATTAGATTTTCGATGGATGTAGGATTACAAATCAATGTTGGTTGGGAGTTTAGGTTTTGGTGTTAGGTGTCGGGATAGAATTTTGGTGAAGAAACAGTGGTTGGATTTTATTCTGAAATTTAGGGTTCAGGCTAGGATTTGTGTTAGGAATGATTTCGATATTGTGGGGACACACACACACACACACATATATATATAGAAAACCCAAAGGCTAATATATTAAAAAAAAATAAGGATACATATAGATTGTGTGGAATGACCCAAACATGGCACCCTTCCCCCACAATAACCAACACATACAAATGATTCCAGAAAAGAGAAAATACAGAAAATTACAAGAGACCTAAAGTCAAAAAAAAAAACAAAAAATGCCAAAAAACGTAAATCAGGTAGCTAGAGAGCGATCCAATTTTGTTTTGTTTTTGCCTCTAGTTCTTGGAAAGGAGCCAGCTAATTAATTGGTAAGATGATTGTCATTGTCAGTAGTGACCAAAACATCATCCAATAAGTTCTCAAGCTCGAGTCGACCTTCAGTCTTCTTCTTTCTTCTGGAATAGACCTGTCATTCATCATCCGAAGATTGGCTCGTCTAATTAGTGGATTGGTCTAAAATGTGTCAGACATGTGTAGGATGTTGAACATTAGAAATAACTGTTTGTTGTACTAGTTGATCTTTGATTGAATCAAAGGAGCACTCTCATGGTTTTTGGCATGTAAGTGAGTCTTTTTTAATAACAGTGAGTGGTAGAAACACTTTTGGATTTGTATATGTAGTATGATGTTCTTCATCAGAAGCTGCGATGTTGAATCGGGTTGCACCTTCTCAGCAGGGAGGGTAGGTGGCTGATCTTTAGCGATATTCAAGTTCTGTTCTGTGGTAGCTTTCTCTCCAGATGGAACAAATATGTCAAGAGTAGTGGAATTAGATCCATCCTTATTCACTTGATCTTTAGATTTCAAATTAGGATGAAACTTATGGCATTTATCAAGTGTATGCCCAAACATCTTACAATGAGAACAATAAGGCGGTCTATGCTCTACGAAGATTTGTTGTCAATATCCATTATGAGTTGTGCCCAACCAGATTTCAGTAACATCAGGTAAAGTAATATCTCTTTGCACAAGGATTCTGGCCACAGAAGGTCTCGTTATGTTAAAAGTCGGTAGATCTAGCTTCATAGGGTCCTCAAGTATAGCCCTAATAGAGTAAAGAACCTGATGATGAAAAAAGTGCAGCTTGAGACCTGGTGGACTAAATCATATGAGTACATTAGGAGGTTCATGATTGGGGTTAAAATCAGGAGACCACTTGAGTAGCTTCATTGATTTACCAGCAATGCTAAGATATTTTTTGGAGAAAGTCTGAGTGTAGTCTTCAGCCACAGTTAATTGAATCAATACATGTCTCTCATCCATGAGCCATACTTTTCACTTCCCTGCTAATTTTAGATCTTCAAAATTTTTCCTGATAACTTCCATAGGTGAGTGCCCCCACTGAAATTTTCCAATAAGAGTAAATTTGAATCTGTCAGTCAGTGTTGAAATTTCTAATTCCGAGAAAAAGAGTGTTGTTTTCCTATTTTTTCTGCTTGCATTCTTAATAAATGGACAGTCATCTGTCCTTATAACTTGAGGGGAAGACAACCGCGTCTTCACCTGAGAATTACCTACCACATGGGCAAAGGAGTTTTTGTCAGGTTTAACCGAAGAAGAAGAAAACTCCATCACATCAATTAGAAGCTCTGCGCGGTAAGGCCGGGCGGAGGACGGTATGGGCGAAGCCGCAGAATGCCGCGCAGAAGACAGGAACCGAAGAAGACAATGTGTGAACCTGTCAACGTTGAAAGCAAACAGAGACGACGCAGCAGATGCGAATTCTGTCGGCTTCAAATGTCGCAGACGCAAGCCGTTGTCGACGTCGAAGTAGCACGAGCCAACGATGACGGAGAGGACGGAGAGACAACGTCGGAGAAGAAATGTGAGGAAAGGAAATGATCTTATGCGATAAGAGTTGCTAGGGTTCGACATGGGTCAAACTCCTAGCAGAGCCGAGCATATATATATATATGGATTTTGGATTTTGGGCAAGAAAGTCAAATCCCAAAAAATTTAGAGTTTGTTTGGTTCTGATACTAGATAATACCGTTCTAGGGCTCCTAAAAGGTCTTTAGGAAGCAGGATTTGTGAGGAGGTGATTGTGGGATGATAAGGGAAAGGTAATATCGGACTTCAAGTTATTACAATCTCCAAGATATTCAAACAAAACCAAAAGTCCAAAAAAAAACAAGAAATACAAGACATAATTTGTCCCCGACTAGAAAGAAACCCTAATTAGAAGAAAAGTGAAAGGAAAAAAGCTACAAAAGGAAAACACTCTTGTTGAAATCGGAAACATGACGAGATTGTGCGGTCTGGCTCTCCTACGATCATGAAACTTAATGATACTGTGATATCGTGAAATTACCATAATCTGGATCGTCATGGAATTGTAGAATTCCCAAATTTCACATTTTTGCCGCCCGAACAAGGCGGTGGTTTCCTGTAATTCAAACACTTATGCGTCAGTGACTTAAGCACATAATAAAATAAGAATTTGTGGTTGTTTTACTTTCACGTTTTAAATTGTGTCAAATGCATTAAATTTGTCCAAGACACTGTGTTTGGCCTTTGTATTCTTTTGAATTATGAAAATTATGTTCTCTATCCAAGTATTCATGTTACTAAGATTGCCACATCCCTTCTTTCTTATTTCAACTTTTCCTGTCAAAAAGCTTCACATTTCTCTTGATTTTTTATTTGACTGAAAATGAGATGCAGCTTTCGAATATGTAAAGCCCGCATGGCTGTCCATGTGCTCACCAGCGCATGTCATAATTGCTATGGGGGTATATAATGAATGAACAATTTTGTTCAATTTAAGAGTTTTGATATTCTTGGATGCAAAATCACTTGTTGAAGCTTCATTTGATTGTTTTATATCAGTACATATGATTATGGAGGCCCTTGTATTATATTTTTTTGGTAGAGCCCCCATTGAAACTTTTTTATTCATTGATCTCATTTGATGTCTAATCAAACTAGGTAATACATTTTTTAATAATGTTTATTTATTTAATTAAATTGGCATTTATATATTATCTTTTTAGGGCTTATTTATGTTAACAAATAAACATTACGATGTAATAATCCAAGCAATGTTACTTCATTAAATGTTCTTTATACCTTTATTAGACCAGTTGATGAATACAAATTTATTTTTATAGTTAGATTACTTAAAAAGATATTTTAATTATTTGATTGCTGTCTTATTGCTAAATTCTTCCGTGTGCTAGTAGTTTGAATTTGACTAAATAAATGATAAAGTTGCTTCATTCATTGTAAATTCGTCGAGGAATGTAAGGTACCTCAGGCATTCGTGTATGCGATTCTGATTACGCCTTTTGTGTTATTTTGTTAAGGAGTGAAGTGTTAAATTAGTCCCCTTATTGTTTAATAGGGTTATTTTAGTCTCAAAGTCTATTCAAGTGTCAAATTAGTCCCTAGACATGGGACTAAAATAGTTTTACGTGGGTACTATTTCAGCCTATATTAAATTAGTCTGGGGAGTAAATCAACATTTTTATAGACTCTAGGACTAAAATAACCCTCCGCAAAGTGTTATGGGACTATTTTTGACACTTGTCTCTTTTGTTAAGTGAGGGCTGTAGCATTTACTCTCCTCTTTTTGCCATCTCCAGGCTTCTTCCACAATTCATTGTCAACATTCTGTCCAACCCTGAAAAGAAGCAGAGGGTAATTACATGCGACGATGCTTCAGATGTTCTGAAGGAAGCTTTTTCTCTCACGGAAGCTGCACTGAATCATCAGTATGAGGTTCTGCCCTATCTCTAGGAATAATGCAAAATCCGATATTCTGGCATATCTGATGTTTTACATGTATGATAGAGTATAGGGAAAAACATCTGTTCTCTGTAAAAGCTATACCCGTTTTTTGTTGTAATTCAATGGATTTTTTTTATATTTTTTGAAATATCTTTGATTCTCCTTCTTAATGGACGTGTTATCTGATGTGATTCATGACTTGATCTGCTATTAGATGTCCTATCATTAAAAGGCAAACACCTCATAACAATATCTAAACTTTTGATAAACAAAATTTGAGGTCATTTTAGGTAACTCAGAAAATAATTAAAGGAAAAAAGACAGCTCTAACAAAACAAAAATAACTAACAATTTCGAAAGGTATGAAAAAACATCCCAAACATTAGTTGGATTTATCATGTGAAAACTCTGCAAGATAATCTCCATAAAGAACCATCGTCCGAAGCTGAAAGAATTGAAATGACAGAGTAAAGGTGGTGATATCTCGCCAGAAGATGAAATAGTAAGAATGGCAGGATACTTATCATGAATAATTCAGGATGAAAATTAACGTAGCATCTCTCTTTGCTACCCTTTTAAGTAGCAGAGATAAAAGCATGGACATGACATAATATGCCTGAATACCATTATGTGGAGGCAACCTCAAGAAATACTAAATGCTCAAATGTGCCTAGATGATAAAATTGTTTCATAAAATTAGGACAATATTACTAGCAAGCAAGTACAAGCAAAATGTCTTAGCCAACTAAAAATTTGATTTTACTTTTTGGCTTTGTTGCGTGAAGACAGGTAAGTGAAGTGTTAATAGTGTGGGGAAGATATGACTAGTTCATGTTTTTTTTTTAAAAGTTCATATCTTAGTAATTTTTAAACACTTAGATAAGCTTGCATTTCAGCTTGCATTTCAGCTGTCTTTCATCAGATTAACCAATGTTAAAGCTGGTATGTAATTCACACTATTGTTCAACATGCAACGCATCAATCCAATCTATGCATGCTTGGAAAATTCCATAAGGACTTTAGTTTTTCTAAAGCGATAAGGCATGAATTGGAGGCAAGTAGAAAAAAATATGATATGAGCTATTGGTTATTTGCATCTTATCATTATAAGCACGGAATCCCCAGTTAATATTTAATATGATGAACATTGAAAAACCTTAATTGAAAACTCTAAGATCCTCTAAATGGTATGACGTGGGGCTTCCCCGTGTAGATGTGGGACGCAGGAGTGGATCTTCCTTCACTAATGTAGGACTCGCGGGTTCTCCTGCGTCTGAATTTGACCGGTTTGTTGAAGACCCGTTCAGGGAAATCCCAGGCCGAGCCGCCCGGGAAAGACTTCTGACGGGGCGATTGACATCTCGCGCCCTCTCCTCCTTCCTTTTCTGTTTCTTCTTTATATGGGAAGAATTTAATGGCTATTTATGGATCTTTCTGGCCTCTCCACCTCTTTCTTTTGTATGGGAGTTTCCTTCTTTATTTCTTTCCTTTCTTCGTTAATGGGGAGTCCATAATTTGTTTTTTTGCTGATTGTAGGGTTCAATTTTGCTTTATTTGCTTTCAGATTTCCTATGTGGAATCTCTTTGTTTTTTGTAGGTGGTGGTGTTCCGGTTGTATCCTACTCAAAAGTGGTGATGTATCTTCGCTTTCATCTTCTTAAACCCTTCTCCTCTTCTCTCCGGCAACTACCGACCTCCCTTTTCCCTATTCCAGCACCCAGCCATCCTTCCCCTAGCAACATAACATTGTTGCTCCACTCCCCAACCTTCATCACGACAATAGTCGCCACTTTACTGCAGCAGATCAAACTGTCCAACACCTTCCCTTCCGTCCCATTTCCCCTATCGGCCTCCAAAATCACCACCAACCAACCTCGCAACCACCAACCCTTCCCCATATCTTCACCTCGTTGCCAGCGCCACTCCACCCTCGGATCTTCTCCTTCGGCTCTAGTCAGAGATTATTTTGTGATTGTATTTGCTTTTCAGTTTGTGTCGTATTGTATTTGCTTTTCAGTTTGTTGCTTTTCAGTTTGTGTCGTGTTGTAATCCTATTTCTATATTAATAAAAGTTTGTTTCATGCGTTTTCGCCGTTTTTTCTACTAGTTTCGGTATCATTTGGTATCAAAGCTGACCCAACAATAGTCTCATCTTAGGGTTTCCTAGCATATGCTCCTACCCAAGCCATCCCTACCAAAAATTTTCCCCTCCAATTCTCAAACCACCACCAAGAATTTGACCTAGCCCTAATTAAACCCTTGCTGATTTTCAAAATTAACAACACCAAATTATTTTCTACACTGTTAATGAGTCTCCTACACTGTCTTTCACCTCCCAACCATAAACCCTAGTCATGCCACCAGCAAGATACATGTCAAGCCTTCCCAAGAGGAGATACGACGAGAGATCCACCAACTTTAACGGTGGATTACGGACATGGAAGATGAAATCCAATGGGTGGCCACTTTCGACCATGATCCGAAAGGTTGAAACTTGGAACGAGAAGATATGAAGATGAAGCGTGAAACACAACACAAATTCCTACCGACTTAGTATCGTCAAAAGTTATAGTTCCTAGCTTTCGAAGTGGAGAGACCGCAGCACCAGGGACCCCTTGGCTACTATCCAGCGTAACCAATCCGCTAGTCTGTCACAGACAGAAAATATTGCAAGTGCCACAAATTTGGACATGTTGAAGCAGAATGCACAATCAGGGAGTGATCTACTTCACCGACCAGGGCTTCATCGAAAATTTGGGTAAATGACATCGTTGACACTGAAGATGGTGAGGACATAAACGAGGAGTATCAGCTTTCAGTTGAGAGATGAACGATGATCAGGAAGAAGATACAAATTTCATAGATGATTCTTATTTTTCAGCCAACAAGAAGGAGACTCTACCAATTCTAGTTGACCCTTAGAAGAGATTCCAGCTGAGGTAACAAGACATTCATGCAGGTATGAAGTGGTAGTAGCTCGAGCTATTGTTTCACAAGTGGTGAGAGGAACATCAGTCGGAGTGACTTGGGATGTCCAAAAGGGGCATGAGTTTGAGGAGCCGACCACAGATACAGGGCCACCACAAATCAAAGTATTGTAGATTTTTTAGATGTATAGACCCCTTCCTGAGTTACTCTTATAAAGGGAGGTTCAACAGGCCAGAAGTAGGGTCATTTTGTGTTATGTCAAAAATATCATGTGGAGCTTTTCAAAGTTTATTTCTTGTTCCACAAGGTACCTCTCATCAAATGTCCAAACAGGAGAGATGAGCCCCAGTTTTGTATTGGACCCAAGGAGTTTAGTGGGGACGAAAATTTTTCAATGGGAACCAGGACCTATCAGTAACAAAGAGCTCTCTCCCGAGCGAGTGCTGGTGAAAGGGGTGCAGCCTATCACAAATTTTATCCCCAGATTGATCCCTCCTTCTATACCAGTTTCTTAGCTGCACTCAATCGATTACAAGGAGTGGAAGAACAAGGATACTCCTGGAATGGCTCAATGCTTGTGCTGTGAGAATATTTGTCTTCCAACAGTTCTAGCTCAATGCTTGTGCTGTGAGAATATTTGTCTTCCAACAGTTTTAGCTCAAAGTGTGCAAAATGTGGATGGATTCATATGCTACCAAACGTGCTTTGGAATGACAACGCTTACAAGATCGACCTGCCAGGGGGCTACAATGTTTTAGGCATGCTCAACGTCGCCGACCTGACACAGTACTAGGAGGAACCTGAAACTTCGACAAATGAAATCAAAGATCCCCCAACCCCGGGAGCTTGACGCGGGGCTTCCCCGCTTAGATGCGGGATGCAGAAGCGGGGCTTCCCGCACTGTCGCAGGACTCGCAGATTGTCCCACATCTGAACCCGACCAGTCCAGGGAAGTCTTGGGCCGAGCAGTCCAAGCGGGACTTATGATGGGGCGAGCTATTCCCACGCCCCTCTCCTCCCTTTTTTGCTTCTTCTTCCAATGGGAAGATTTTAATTGCTATTTATGGATCTTTCTTTCCTCTGCACCCCTTCCTTTTGTGTGGGAGTTTCCTTTATTTCTTTCCTTTGTTTGTCAATGGGGAGTCTATAATTTGTTTTTTTATTTTTATTGTAGGGTTCAGTTTTTCTGTTTTTGCTTTCAGATTTTCTGTGTGGAGTTCTTTTCCATTTTTTAGGGTTGTATCTGAGGAGGTGGTGGTACTTTGGCTATATTCTACTCGTGAAGTACCTTCCCTTTTAATATTCCCTAACCCTTCTCTTCCCCTCTGCAGCAGATGCTGGCCTCCATTTTCTCTATTCTAGCACTCAGTCATCCTTCTCCTAGCAACATAAGCTTGTTGTTTCACTCCCCAACCTGCATCACGATAGCAACCGCCACTTTCTTGGAACAGATCTGTCTGTCCAACCCTTTCTCTTTTGTCCCAGTTCCCCTACCGGCCTCTCAATCACTACCAAACCCCTTCCTAACCGACCTCGCAACCACCAAACCTTCCCCATTCGTTCACCCCATTGCCTCCCTCGAACCTTCTCCGTCGGCCCTAGCCAGAGATTAGTTTATGATTGTATTTGCTTTTCAGTTTGTGTCGTGTTGTAACCCTATCCATATATTAATAAAAATTTGGTTCGAGTTTTTCTGTCGTTTTCCTACTAGTTCCAGCATCATGGTATAAATGATAATCTCAACAAAAGTTCTACCTTTGAATAGATGAATTATATGCTGAATTTCAGGTCAATTTTCTTGCAAGAAAAGAACTATAAAAAAAGATTTATTGAAATGATATAAATTTCAAACATACTTGATAAGATTTTTTCCTTGTATATTTTTAGCTCAAGAAATTGAGATACAAATGCAAAATCAAAATCTGGGCTATATGCCAAATATATTAGTACCTACAGCAAAAATGAATTGCTTTGAATCAGACATTGGTTCACTTTTAAGTCCTTGTTTAAACTTAAATTTGGAGCTAGGTATGAAATCTTCATAAAAGCATGTAGTACTTTCCACTTTCAATAGGATTGGTTTTTAGCACTTGGGAATCTAAGATATTTTGCTTAAGACGATTTTCGTGCACTTTGTCTCTATTTGACATTTCTAATTATCCATTGAAGTTAATTAAGGCTTTGCAAAAGTTAACTTACTTTGTGCTGACTATCTTGATAAGCTTGTCTATTGTTCTTTCTTCTATTTTTATTTTGTTCAATAATATGATATATTTTTCCAACTCATAAAATGATATTTAAGCTAAATATTTTTTCACTTGGAATGGAATGTTGTCTGCATCCTTTTAGCTTTTGTTCATTACCAACATATTTTGATACTTCTGGATTTTAAAGAAGGTTTTTTTTTTCTTATTGTTTTATTCATTGATTCTGAGGACTTTTAGAGGACATGTTGCATGAAATCATCATGACTATATTAGCTACTTATGCTCTAGCTTTAGTTCAATTCTATTTATTTCTACTTAATGATTGATTTGTGCTTAGTTAATTCTTACGATCATGTCTTTGAGTAATATAAACTTTCAATATTCAGAAGTGAAACTCATCTGCTGCCCTTGTTTGAATATTTATTATAGACGATGGTATTAGGAATAGTACATGCGGTGGAAAATCCTAATGATTCTTCATTTTATCAGCATTATTGAAATTTCAATTACATTGCTACACAGCCAATGACTTGTGTGTCATATATGAACCAAAAAATGACTTTCAGATTTCAATAGATATTAGGCTGGTTAGGTATTGTTTAGCAAAATTGGAAGCTGCATTATACTTTTCAGTCTTTTGGATCTAGTCCTTTGACCCTTTGATTTAAATGAGTTTCAGATTTGCAAGATAGAGTGTAATTGTCATTAGAGATGACCATATTATATCATCATCATCATCTTTGGTCTTTTCTCAACAATTTTGGACAAGCTTTATGAATCCTCTTTTCTTTCGTTTATGTTAAGTTTTGCCTGAGATGTTGAATATATTCTTCACAATCAATTTAAATTGCTTCTATCCTTGTTACCTTAGTTCATCTCATTTTCTCGGACACTAATTTCCTCTCTCCTTTTAATGGGACAATCAAGTTCTTTCTATTATGCCGCAAAACTCTCATTTTCATGTAGTTCATTCTACAAAACATTACCAGCATAATTCTCATGTATTGTACTACTGCTTTTTTGTTGGAGGTGCAGAGTAATTGTTTTTCTGCCATAACTGCATGGTTATCATGGTACATCTAGTTAGTAAAAAAGCAAATATGTTTTTTGTAATAATCAATCTTTTTTCAGGGATGTACCGCCACAGTTCTTCTGTTTTGGTTTGATTATGATGAAGAAATATTCGTACAATGTGCAAATGTTGGTGATTCCGCTTGTATTTTGGAGTATGTGTTCTGTTCTTTTATGTATTGTTTTTTTTTGTAGTAGCCTCAACAATGAGTACTTGAGTATCTGGTTAATTAATGAAAAATGTGTAACTTTTCAGATTGTTTCACTCATGGTATTTGTAATAAACAGATGATATATTGCATGAAAATGCAAGTTTGATTGATCTTATAGTTTGAAAATCCCCATTTAAAATTACTACTTGCTTTCCTTTAAAGTAAACCCAGAAAATACAAGATAGTAAAAAAAGAACATTCATCATAATCTAAGAAAATAATATACATGCCAATTAAAATGCATTCGTTAATTAAAATGCATCCGTCTGCGTTATGAAATTTGACCTTGTTTTATGATTTAATTAAAATGCATTCGTTGCAGTGTTGATGGTAAGCAGACCGCCATGACAGAGGACCACCGGGTGACCAGCATATCGGAACGAACTCGTTTGGACAAAGCAGGGAAACCCTTGAAGGAGGGAGAAACACGCCTTTGTGGTGATTGACGTTCAATCTTCGCATTCTTTCTTTTGGCAGATTTGCATGCATACCACTTATTGTTATATGTGCGCATGTCTAACAACTATACTTCAGTTTTTACATCCATACCGCCTTACATATGCATTTAAAAGTTAAAATTGTGGTGTTTTTTATGTGATGTGAAAAATTTGGGAGTTATAAATGTAAAAAGTAAAGTTTAGGATTTAGATATGTAAATACATAGGAATTGAGTGGTATGTAGGTAAATGCCCCCTTTCCTTTTTCTTTTAAAATTCAAAACTAACTTTCGCGGAACTTATTAGATGCACAAAATATGCAATTTTTTACTGGTATGCGGCCATGGCACCATAGCACAAAATATTGATGGATCAAGTTGGTCGCAACTGAAAGAAGTCCAACTTTCATTTGCCAACTTTTTCTAATTAATCCTCTCGTTTGTCTTATTCGGTTCTTCTTTAGGGTCTATGGAATGTGCGTAAAACGAATGGAACAAATATTAAAATCAAAGTTGTTTCCCTGATTTTTCAGGTTTAAACCTTAGCCGAATGCTCGGAGACAAATTTCTTAAAGAGCAGGACGTACGCTTCAGTGCAGAGCCATATGTGAGTCAAGTTGTCCATTTAACAAAAGGCAGCACAGCTTTTGGGCTAATAGCAAGGTAAATTATCATTTTCACCCAAAAATTCTCTATTTTTATACATTTTATATATGTTGAACCTTAATAGTGAAATAAAATGCAGCGATGGTTTATGGGATGTAATAAGCACCAAGCAGGCTGTGCATCTTATTTTTCAGGTGGAGTATTATTTCTTTTCTTATCCCCTATTACCGTTTATTTTTAAAAAAAGAAAGATTTACATCCATATCATTTAATTCCTATGTATTTACATATCTAGCAACTAAACTTCAATTTTTCACATAACTATGCATGAAAAGGTGTATTTCACTTTTTCGAAGTTGAAATGATGGTATTTTTTATATGATACGAAAGATTTGGTTGGTATACATATTAAAAAGCAAAATTTTGGTGTTAGATATGTAAATACATAGGAATTGGGTGGCATGCATGTAAATGTCCCCCCCACCCCCCAAAAAAAAATTTAAGATCCTTCTCGATCTTGTACAAGCATCTTTAGCCGCCACCTTGTTTGGATTGATTTTATACGTATGATCCTGTTTTGACAAGTATGTGCAGATAAAGGAAAAATACGGAGTCCAAAATGAAGACCTGGCTGAGAGGATAGCGAATTCTGTACTGAGCGAAGCTCGATCGTTTCGAACCAAGGACAATACATCGGTTATCTTCTTAGACTTTGATCTCATCAGAGTTGATTCTCATAAATTCAATCAATGATTACATTATAGAGTTTGTTAATGTTTTCTTGTGCCTATTTTGTGACTCAATTATTTAATATATTTTTTTTAATTTTGTTCTTTGCTTAGGAGGCTATTTTTCTTTGGGAAATTTACATACGTACCACATTATTCTTGTGGATTTACATATCTAACACATAAAGATTAGTATTTATATTTGTAATACTTCGGTGCGATAATCATATGCATAAAGATGTACATTTTACTTAAAAAGTTAGTATAGATGGGAATTGAGTGCTATGAATGTAAATATTAAACTTTAGGTGTTGAGTATGTAAATACAAAAGAATTGTGTGGTATGTATGTAAATGTGCTCTTTTTTCTTTATCATATGCAATTTTGTCCTCGTTGCAACAATGGTTCAGATGATCATACAGATGGATGAACTGTAAGTTCTTTTGAGCTGCGCTTGGTTTATTGCTGCAGACCATGTTTCAAAAAAGCAGCTGTTGACAGGTGAATGGGATCAAGTATAAAGCTTTTAATATTTGCACTTTTTAGCACATTCTTGTTGTTTATATCTTCTGAATTTAAGATACCTGACCCTCTGAGGGTTGATTATGTTAATAATTTAAGATAATCTGTCATTTTTCAAATGTTTGAAGAGTTTTGTGCCTTGTACAACACTAGAAAATGCACATGCCAAGTACATTTGATTAAGAATTAAGTGATTTTTTTTTTAAAATTTAGGTGTAATGTTATTTGAAATAATTGTTGTAACAGTATTTTGGAATTAATGATAAATTTAAAATGGCATTCTGATTTGTAACTTTACCCCTATTATCCTTGTGTTTTTGTTCTTTATGAATCTCTCCCTCACCCTTGCATTGGAGAAAATATTACGTGCAGTCATCCGTACGTGTGAAATTAGAGGTGTACAACCCGCTAAATATATCCCAAGTACGTCCTGAGTATGCTCATTCACACATTCGGGTTATCCGCACGTAATATTTTTTCCTCGCAGTAGCCATTATTACTCTCATTGGAAAACTCTCAAGAATGAAACTAGGAAGCCAAGGTTTAGTTACAAAGGGAAAGGCAAAGGCAATTGGTCAGAGAAAACAGGTTGTGAGACTACTATGGATGTAAATTTAAAATTCCGATGTTAAGTATATTCGAGATTTAAAGTGCCATGTTTTTAAATTTGTATTTGTCTCGCTATTATTTCATAAGAAAGAGAAGATTCCACAAATGAATTAGATATCATTGGAAGTTGTAAATCAGATATATCCAGTATATGTAAAAACATTAAGAATTTGTCTGGTGTATATGTAAAATATTAAGGGAAGATAAATTTACATATATACCACATGATTCTCATATATTTACGTATTTAATTTTTAATTTACATGTATAACACACTGGAGTGCTGTAAATTTCGACATGTAAAGGTAACTTTGTAAAATTAGGTTATAATGATATTTATATTAAAAATCTCAATCTAATGTATGTAATTATTAAAATTTAAGAATTGCTCCATTCATATGTAAATGTTAAGGGAAACGTTCACTCTATTTATAGGAAAAATATTATATCAGTATTATGCACGTAGAAGTAACGTAAGTAGTCAATGAAATCACGTCATGACACCCCGCGGACACCCAATCCGACAGGAAAAAAAAACGGCGTAGTAACACGGGGAATATTTTCTCTGTGTTATTCATGTGTTATTGTGTTATTATAACACCAAGAATATACTCAGGACACAATAAGACACAATAACACATGAATAACACACAATAACACATGAATAACACGAGAAATATTCCCGACAGAGAAAAAAACGGTACAATAATACGGGGGAATATTCTCTCGTGTTATTCATGTGTTATTGATATGTTATTGTGTTATGTTATTGTGTTATTATAACACAAGGAATATTCACAAGACACAATAACACATGAATAACACACAATAACACATGAATAACACGGGGGGGTGCGCGGCGTTATTTTATTAGCTACGTATGTTACTCTAATGCATATTACTGATGTAATATTTTTTCTAGAAGTAGAGTCTTAACATTTACATATGAACGGCTTTACATATGAATGGAGCAATTCTTAAATTTTAATAATTACATACATTAGATTGAGATTTTTAATATAAATATCACCATAACCTAGTACTGACGTAATATTTTTTACTACTTCTAAAGCGCGTTCTAAGCAAACTCCACATACCTGCTGAGCTCGAGCGATCGAATGGCATGGCGACCTCCTCCTCCTCCTCCTTGAAGCCTCTCTCCTCCTCTCCGGCTGTTCCCCTCCTCTACTCTCGTCTCGGCCTCTCTCCCTCAATGGCCGCTGTCACTCTTCTCGCCCTCGGCAATGGCGCCCCTGACCTCTTCGCCTCGATTGCCGCCCTCCACACAGGCCAGGCGCGGACCGGCCTTGGGGCTGTAGTATCGGCCGGTGCCTTTGTCTCAGCGTTCGTCGTCGGTGCCGTAGCTGCTCTCTCCCCCACTTCTCCCTTACCCCTTGAGCCAGCGCCGTTCATCCGCGACGTCTTTTTCTACATTCTTGCCGCCTCCGGTATGTTCTACATCTATCTCAGCGCTGAGATCTTCCTATGGCAGGCCGTGGGATTGATTGTGTTCTACGTTTTCTTTGTTGGCCTTGTCTTCTGGATGGATTCCAACTTCAAAAGAAGGGAAGTGATGGTGGACGAGATGATTAAGTTGCCAGAGTGGGAATTGGCGAAAGCCGCTGAAAATGCTGAGGCATGCAAACCTAATGGGCCTGGCTGGGGATTATATCAACTATTTGGGTTGGTAAGTGTAGCGTAATACTTTATTTTTCAGCCTATTGTCATTGCGCTCATTTTCTAAGTAGACTAGGAATGAATTTAGTTTGGATGATTTACATACATACCACTCAATTCCCATGTATTTACTGATCTAGCACCTAAACTTCAAATTCCCCTGGGTATGTTGGAAATGTAAAAAGGTAAAATTTTGGTGTTAGATATGTAAATACGTAGGAACTGGGTGGTATATGTGTAAATGCCCCTAGCTATATTGAGAATGGACTTGTATTGCTGAGTTGGATATTTCACTTTCCTGACTGAAACCATCTGTTATTTTCAGCTGTAAGTAGTACATGCAATCCGGTCATCTTTCAAAGTGCCTATGTTTTGTATAATGATATCTTCATAATTATTTTACTCTTAAGTTTTACTGTTTGCAGGTAGCCTAGCTGTAGAAGTGCAAATTTTGTTTCACGATATTGTTAGTTTTCCTCAAAGCTCTCTGATCTACATGGAGATGCAGCTATTTGCTATTTGTTCTTACTTGAACGATTTTGGTAGAAAGTCTCGCTTCTTTGGTTAGTGAATGGGATTCAACTGTTATTTCACATGCTAAAACCTTAAGCCAATTAATTGTCTTAAATTTTCTTGTTTTGCGATGCAAAGGACTCGACCTTGTTGTCTATTTTCAGAATTAAAAGGCTAGTATAGGGTTTGGTTGCTGCGCAACATTTTAATGGGTGCATGTACTAAAAAAATCTAACAAAATAAGTCAACATGGCCTTATTAATGCAGTATGTAATGGAGTAAAGAGTAGATTATTCGAAATTTCCCTGCATTTTACAGTCTGTCATCGGGCCGGGAATCTCTTCACTTTTCTATAGATCTATCAAATCTATAGAAAAGTGAAAAGAAAAGATAAGTTTTTAAGCGACATGTGTTTTGAGAGAGAATCAATCGAAGAAAAGAATATAAATCAGATCCAATAAAAAAGAGGAATTTTTTTTGGAAAAGGATAAGTAAAATGGGATTTAAGATCCAAAAATAAAAGAAATTAAGAAAGGATGATTCTCGAGTACTTAATCCAATTCCATTGATAGTTGCAACTTTCTAACAAACAACTACCTTAAATTTATTCCAGGTGATTTTTATTACCCAAAAGATTGAAGTGAAGCCTAATATCGCCACCAATTTGTTTCACAGACCATAATATAGCATTACTAAATGAAGTTGATTTAGGATGGCATGAAGATTATGAAAAAGGGTTATGTCTCCATGAATCATGCTATTTGCTGTTCAACAACTAAAATTTGCACGAGCACGAGCTGCTCAATCTCCCCAACTTGAATTTCCTTGTGAACGTAGCCAAGATAATACTAGATTGTTGGCCTTCACTCTTGGAATCCTTTTGTAATAGGATTTTGGAATTGATTTCTCATTTTAGCTGAAATCCTAGGTTTAAATTTGACTTCTGAATTGGATTTTTGTGTAGATTCAGTAGTGTTGGTTTGATACCATTATTTTTGTACTCGTAAACAAACTTGGTTTGGATAATTGTTTAGTTTGATAGAAACTCGACATTTCTGCGTAATGGAAGAAAATTCCTTATTAACCCAGGCAAGTTTAGATGGCTTACGAGCTATGAGTTTTATCATAGGCATGACATATTCTAAAACTGCATTCGTGGTGATTCAACCATCAATTATCATTACTTTTTTTAATTATTTGCACATATTTTATGTAAAGATCAATTATCATTACTTTTTTAATTATTTGCACATATTTTATGTAAAGGTTGTTCTTTTTCAATTTTCCTCGAGAGAAGAGCCGGATAGATATATCTCAGTATATCTAATTGCTAATCATGTATTTTTCCCATTTCATCCTAGGATATATGTTTCTAATATTTTGTGTTATGGAATTCCTCTCATTTGAGTTCATGTAGTTCTCTTATATTTTTCACTGAGCTAAAAAATTTCTCTTAGTACACTGGAAAATTATGTCCTCTTTGTTGTTTGTTAAAGTAGACGCATTCCATGATTTGTACCTTGCCTTTATCAGATATGCTATCCTTAAATGTTGGAGTTTTGAAAAGGGGTTGAATGGTATTTGCAATAAGTTGAATGTAGACATCTTGAAAGACGACCAATACAAGTGTTTGATGTTCGAGTGGTACTAAAGATTATTGGAAATGCTTGATATTTTCATCATCAATTTTCACATCAATGTTTTTCGAATCTGTAATGCAGAATTAAGCTTGTAAAATATCACCGATGGATAGACATTTCGGAAATACTAAAATCTTTGCTCCAAATATGTGCTGCTGAATAGGATTTGTAACACTCACAGTTCAAATTGAATCAAAAGGCTATTGTGGTCTTTCTTTGGAGAATCTCTATTGAAAGTCATTAACCATCCTAACCTTGATGTTTAGGTGAATAGTGAGACATGTTGATTTTTTGGATTGTCTAGAATCATCATTTTCTATAATAGCTTCTCCATGAAACTTGTTTTTTCAGTTATTTGTCAATCCCTTAATTAGTTGTAATGCCTTTGTTTCAAAGTTAATTTATAGTGGGGCAATGAACATTGTTTACTTGCCTGAATATACAAATCGCTTAATACAAGAAGCCTAAATTATCCCCAAGTAGGTACATGAGAAAATATTTTACTTTCTTGAGGTAGAATAACAAGGAGGTATAGCTAGCATCTATACCAAAAGATTATATTTATGAGTTCTTCAAAATAACTCAATCAATCAAGAAGAAGATTGATTATATTAATATTCCTTGTTTGTAACATATATTTCCAAGTTAATTTATTGGATTTTCTTTGATTACAAACATATAATTGGTTTTCACATAAGCTTGTATTCTTTATTTGCAAGTGTTGAGTTTGTCGTTAAACATCTGAGGTAGAAATTTTGTATTGTTTCTTTATCACATTACATTAGACGAGCCAAATTTAACACTTGTTGATTTGAACATTTAAGTATCTTATTCCTAAAAAGAGAATTTTTGGTTATTTAGCGGGTAACCTAATTTAAATGGAAGAAGGATGCATGGTTGTTGGTAGGGGTGTAAACAAATCGAACACGAGCGAGCCCGGGCTCAGCTCTTGTTCGGCTCGTTTATATTTTGAGCTCAAATAGTGTGTTTGTGTTCGGCTCATTTGCTTAGCAAGTCGAACATAAGCCGTTCACGAACAAAGAGTCGTTTTGACAACCCTAATCACGTAGTCATAGGATTTTAAGGATTGGTGCAAGATTTTAACCATCATTTGAATTTAATTAAATAATTTTTATTTTATTATCTTAATTAATATTTTTAATTGATTATAAATCTTTGTAGCCTTGTAGTCAATTAATTTTTTAAAAATACTACTCATCAAATA